AGGGCACATAGTTATTTCCATGAGAAAAGGATACTTGGTTTAAATTGGTAACAATACAAAGCCAACGTCAAAGGAAACCATCAGATAAGGTCCGAATAATGTTCATTTTTTATTACTATATTATTATTATTATTTAATCTTTTTAAACACTGAAATTATTCTATATCAAAGCAAATCGTGAACAAACAAATTTATTTTACTCAAAATTTTGAAACACAAATTAAATTTATAAATTTTTGAAACTGACAGGAAAAAAGTATTGGATATAAAAAATTAAATGAAAACCATCTATAAAAAGAAAACCATAAAATAAAATAAATTTTATTATTTAAACAGTAGACAAAATAAGCTTTTATTCCATTTTCCAAACATAGAAAAGTATTATGATTTTGCTACAAGCTGCTTCCATTAATTTACTGGGCATTTTGCCAAAGGTATGTCTACAACTCTATCTATAGATGTCAAATGAACGAAAATAACACTTTTTTTTAATAACTGAATAAAATGAATGCTTGGAAATACTTAAGAATATAAATTTAATAAAATATATAACATATTTTTGCAAGTTTTACCTCAAATATATCTAAATTCTTACATACCTGCAAAATCTGACTTCTGCACAGGATTACCTTAAACAAAATTAGTTACCGAACAGCAACACGTGACTTTCTGGTTTTAATTTTTTTGTGATGATATCAGATAAATCTTGACTGATTGACAGAGTTGTTTTAGTTCGAAAAATATTAAGTGAAATCTTTTGCAATATATAGCCAATAACAGTCAATATATTTTTAATGCAAATGCGTCATTTGTGCAGGACTGTGACTTTAAATGGCTTTAGGTGAAGGACTATAACTTGAAACATCATTCATCATAATTATTGAATTCTTCATAATCACAATCGCTGATATAAATGATATAATAATTATCCAGCATTAACTTCGTTGTAATTATTGAAATGTACATAATAAAATATTACATTTAAAAAAATGATTTGCATTTGACATCAACAGAATTTTGAGACTGTTGCTGTACAAACTGACTACACATCCTAAATTTTGATGATTAGATAATTACTAACTATTAAATGGATTTCACAATCGTTATAAACTACACAATAAATTTTTTTATTTGATTAAAAAATGACTGTGATTTTATGCCATTTTGCCCCACCTGAATATGACGTAAAATACTAATTTGACATGATTATTTTTGTCATAAAAAGTTTTTAAAATAAGTTTAAATTAAGTAATTTTTAAAATAAGAATTAGCAGCTTAAAATCAGCATTCATTTAATCAGTTCTATTCATAACTTAAAAAAGTTTTATCCGATAAGAAATTTCTCGTTTCTTAATATGATCCTTTTTAAGCTAAAATTATAAAATATTAACGTTTAAAAAACTCAATCCACATGCATGTTCAATGCAAATTCTACTTTATTATGATAAGGCATTTTCTTTTAAAATTAATGGAATTTTCTTCGATAATATAAAAGACTGTCATTTAAAAGATTAATTTTTCTTTGCGATAAGAAAATATCTAAGTTATTTGAGAGTAAAGTATTAAATACAAATTAATAGCAGCTTTAGAATTTTGAAAGGTGACGACGTAATAAATGGTTTTTTGTGTATAGAAGATTTGTAAATCTTTTCTTGGTAATATAAATTTATGTGGTGATTATTTGCGCTTATAACTATTTGTATTGACTTGAGTTGATGAATAGTTGGATTATATTAGTATAAAGTTTCTTTCTTTCATTTAAATAAAGATTTTCAGTAGCCAGCGATATTTTTTTTAAGTGATAAAGAAGTTCTTTTTTACATCTTGGAGAATATATAACATAGTTTAACATGTCTTCGTAAATATATCAAACGTTAAGAAGAAATATGGGTTTGATTGTTTTGTGAAATAGATTCCAAAAAACTTGTTTGAATTTCCTTGTCTTTAGGTGAATTTTTTGCATGTGTCTTGTTCACAAAAATCGCTTTCAATAAATCAAATGAAATATAATGTTATATTTGCATGAAAAATCCATTAGTATGATTTATTTATATTATTTCAGGAAGAACGAAAAATATAAGCAATACTTTTAATTATTCTACATCGGAGCTTCGATTTTATAATATACGCACGTGTTTCAATTAAGTAAAGAAAAATCGCTATCAAATATTCACTCAAAATAAATTGTTGGCATATACACACCTGAAAATCTTTGATAATATTTTGACGTCTGTTTGGGATAATTGTTTTTGTATCTCATTACTATATGCCTTGAAAAATGTTTGATGTGTTTCTTATAACCTTGATATACGGCTGAATTGAACCTTACTTTAGCGTAAATTTATCCTTCTTAGAAATGATATTGCAAAATTATGGTCTTATCAGATCGGAAAAATTGTTCTATTTATCATCGTTTTAAGGTTATAGAAAATTCGCACGATTACATAAATTGAACCATAAAGGTTTAATTTGAACAAAAACAAGATTCAATTTAATACATAGTAAGGATGTAGCAAATTTGCCTGAGGTGAGGACCATATAGATATAAATATTGACTTTGAAGTCCAGGAAAAAAAAATCAGTCTAATGGCATCAAATCGCTCCACCTCAGTACCCCTTAATCTTGTGCCTTAGCAAGATATTACAAGAATAAGAAATTAAAGACAGTTGTATAACCTAATATCTGTAATGAACAGCCTAAATCTACATTAAATGGTTCAGAAATCACCAATAAACGCCCAAATCCCATGCTCCACAACAATAACTATTTATCTGTTAAATAGAATAAGACAGAACTGATATTATTATTTTTGTCTTTTGTTTCTTGCTCTTGTCGAAGCAGACCTTGTTAATGTTTTTTTTCAAAGTAAATTTGTTAGAACTCTTATAATTTTTAATTATCTCGAGTTTCTGCTTTCTAACGATAAATTTTGAATTAAAACAAAGTACCAAAATACCAATTTTTTAAAGTACCAAAATACGCATTAAAGTTGAAAGCACTAAAATTGATGCTTTTGACTCTAGAATGGAATGAATTTTATTCCAATGGCTTTAGTGAAGAACATTCTTAAACGAGCACACCAAAAGTGAAATATGAAATCGGATCCGAAAAAAAAAAACGGAATTGCTATACCAATGAAGATTCAGGAAGCGGCTAATCCTTGAAAGTGCAAGTTGGTCACCGAAAATTCAATTAAATATTGTAGTAGATAATTAAATTATATCTATATTTTTATTATAAATGAAAAAAAAATTCATCCAAAAATCACTCTCTTTTTGTTAGAAATCCTCGAAGTAACTACTTATAATTTTAAAGGATTTTACTTAAACCTAGAGTACTTCCCCAAACGTTTTACGCAATCTAATATGACACGGAACATAGAAGAAGTTCACCGTTACATGATGATGATGTGTATATATTTAGTTGAGCAATAAAGTTAATTATGTTGTTATGAGATAATTATATCTAAATTCATAAATTTGCCTATTGCATTAAATAATTTTATAACATTTGATTTCTATCCCTTTCAACTCCATTAAGCCTAGGTTCCGATTCTTTCAGAATTGTAGGTATGCTTAATATGCAATATAGTTTAATTAAGTATTATATATAATAATTTTTTAAAGATCATTTTTTCACGATATTTATGCGCAAACTGTCATAAAAGTTTAGACAGATAGAAAAATACCCTTAAAAATTTTATATCCATAATTTCAATAATAGTTAAGTTTAAAATATTGATTTTATTTCATATGCAAACATTTGGTATTCATTTAACTCACTTTTCCAAACTTTTGATGGAGCTTAAAGTTTACTTCTCATCTAAACTCTGATAGTAAATCAGGAGAATTCTTTTACACTTCTTTTGGTGTTGAGAAACTTCCACCATATTTGCTGTTAAGATACACTAAAAGACTTAACAATGTAAGGACTTTTATTTAAAACCAGCGAATATTTCAAACTTTTAAAGAAAATTAAAATGAAAACGAACATCACTATTCTAATCAATGAGAATCAACAGCTATCGTTGAGTAGTGAATTGTTTTCGATACCATCATTTTATAAACGTCAAAATCCTAACGTGAAAATTTTAACTAGCAAAAAAAAAAAAAAAAAAAAAAAAAAAAAAAAAAAAAAAAAAAAAAAAAAAAAAAAAAAAANAAAAAAAAAAAAAAAAAAAAAAAAAAGAAGAAGAAAATTAAAGTTATCTGATCTAAAATCACCCTTACATTTAAGAAACTTATAGTGCAATCTATTTAATCATTGTTTTTTTTTTGAAATTTATTTTTTAAATTCAAAACAAATATCACATTTGCACTTTTATTCGATATGCACATCTAAGTTATTCGATATGCACATCTTGTTAAGATACACTAAAAGACTTAACAATGTCAAGAATTTTATTTAAAACCAGCGAATATTTCAAACTTTTGAAGAAAATTTAAATGACAACGAGCATCAATATTCTAATCAATGCGAATAAACGGATATCGTTGAGTAGTGAATTGTTTTAGATATCATAATTTAAATTAACCTCAAAATCCTACCGTGGAAGTTTTAACTGGCGGAAAAAAAAGGGGAAAAATTGGAACAAATTAAAGTTATCTGATCTAAAATCATCCTTACATTTAAGAACCTTATAGTTCAATCTATTTAATCATTGTTATTTTTCTGAAATTTATTTTTTAAATTCAAAAGAAATATCACATTTGTACTTTTGTTCGATATGCACAAATAAAATTTCTCCCATACAATGCATTATAAGCACAGCTCCCTAAATAATTATGAGGATAAATAGAGAACGTCTTTTATTTGCAAACACTTAGTATTTATCTAGCTATCTTTCCTAAACTTTTGATGGAGTTTAACTCTCTTAAATCCAAACTCTAGTAAAAGAGTTGAAAATCGACGCGCTTGCGCATTCCTTTTCTGCGTAGAAAAATTTCAGAGGTTATCCCAAACAGCGTAGACCCGATGATGGACATTTCAAAACGCGCAAGGGAGGCGCAACAAACACCCATTATACATATATAGACCCATAAAAGACTCCGAAAGATTTCACATCTCTCTGTCCCACGGATGAAGTCTGAAGCATCATTTGCTCCTGATGCTCCGGTATCACTTTTTTAAGCACCATTTATTGAATCATCTGAAAAAAAGATAAAAATATTAAGAGTAATGGGGTGGAGTCGACAGAAACGGGGAATTGATGTCTTGAGAAATGTTCTATGTTTTTCTTTACTGACAACACCGACCACGTGCTCACTTGGGTGAGTATTTATTGTTTTTTTTATTATGGTAATAGTGTGAAATATGGAACTATATTGAGAGAAAAATTCTATCTACTGGAAAACTACTTTTTTGTGTGCTTATAGTTATTTAAATGTTAATGATTTATATGTTTAAAATTAATATTTATTTTCTCTAGATTTTTATTGCTTTACGCATTTTAAATTTTATTTGTTTAAAAATTGGGGGTGTTGAATTCTTATTAAATTTTATGACAGTTTGTATTTATAGTATATATTATTCAAGTTCATAATAGTAATTTTTGTTTGTCACTTTTAAGTGATTCATTTTGCACAGAAACTATATTTTACGAGCGCTATTTGTAACTTCCACAAGCGTTTGTTTATTTATATATCTATTTAACCTCTGAAATTAATTATTGCGGATGTTGAATAGTCATTTAATATCATGTCAGTTTGATTAACTAATTAAGTTCATAGTTAGTATTTAAGTTCATTGTTTTTAAGTGATTCAATTCATTCGAAACATACATTTTGCGAGGGCTATTTTCAGATTCCTGTAATTTATAATCATTAATTACTTGTCTTAATATTTGAACCTACTTATTTTTGAAATAACTTAAAATTAACTTAATTAACTTTTAAATTAACCTAATTTGAACTTTAATACTTTTTTACGTTATATTATACTTAGAAATTTCGTATAAATAATATTTTTAGAGTTCATCTTTGAGAAAAAAAACTTAAGATAATTGCTTTTATTTTCTGTTTCCTTTTATTGTACTACCGTGACATCAATTTTCATTCATTGTTTAGGTAGGAAAGGAAAAAAAAATTCAGCAAAGTTGAAAATATTTTTTTATAACAGATTTGAAAACTTTTCGTTTAACTGAATGAAACGAAGAAAATGTTGTAATTCTTTTTATCAATCAATTTGGGCCTAGTTTCCAGATTTTATGTAGAGATTTTGTTAAAAGAAAGCTGTGCTGCTAATTCTTAATAATAAATGAACTAAAAAAACACATCGTTGGTAATTGTTAACAGAAATATAATATACTTTAAAAGAAAAAAAAGATGGAAGAACTTTTTGGAACTAAGCTTACGTATGAGTATTTCGTAAATCAATTATTACGGAACTAGTAATTTTTAAAATATGAAAAGAACCACATTAAAAAATTACTTATGCATCTAGATGAATATAGTGCTAATGCGTTTGGTGAAGTTTTTTCGTTATGAGTGAAAAATACTTTTATTTTTATTTTGGATTCACTTTCGGTTCCAAACGTAATTTTATCCATTTTAATGGAAAAGAAGATGGCAAAACATAATTTTTCTTCAGTCAAATAAAGTTTAATTAACTGTTTTGGTGAAGTTTAAAGTGTTTTTGAGAAATTAACAAAGTCGCCAACTGTTTGAAGATGTTTTTTGTCTGTTTTTTTAACTGTATTTCTGTCTTTTTTAACAGAGTGCTGGATTGTACAATATAATTCTTTTCATACTTTTTTTTACAGAAAAATATGTATGAGGCATGGCTGGGAGTTAAAATATTCTAAATTCTTAAAATCCTTCCAAAGATAATATCTATATAAAAATATTTGAAAAAACTTATTTTATACTTTGCAAAACTTTCAGCTATTGCTATGGGAGTGACTGTGCTTTTAGCAAATTTTTAAGGTTCATATCCTTTTGATGTCCCTTAATTTTAATAGTTTACGTATTAATGTTATACATTCTTAAATTATACCCCCTTTTCTTTAAAGCAGTCATAATTTTCCGATGCATTTACTTTATGAACACAAATATCTAGTAATGATTTGCCATATGTAACTAAAAATGTCGCAAACCTTAAACTACGACATTGACTCAGAATTAAGTGCCAGCAAATATTGCGTTATTTATCAGTAATTAATCAAATTTTCAAGAGATTCACGAAATATAGTGATTGAATTACAGTCTGCTTAGGTAAATATTCTTTATTTACATTAAAACTGTTCATTTAAGTTACATTTCTTTCGTGAATATGTGCAATTCAAGCAATATTTCATAATATATAAACATAAATGCATATTATCTTATTATATACATGTAAAGAAATTATAAATACACGTTTACATTTTAATATAAAAAATATTTTAATTACAGTTTATATTTAATGGACCCTTGGACTTTGATAAGTGGAAATATTCTATTTGGCATATTGTTAATTAAAGTTTGAATGTATCCAGAATCAATTTTGTCCCAACAGTCATAGATTGCTACATACATGAACTGAGGAGTATTAGTGGCGTAAACAATACGTAATTGACCCCTGGCGTTTTAAATTGGATTGAGGTCCTGGCTTCGTGATAACCAGTCTATGACATAAATTTTTTTCTGTTTCAAACCACATCTTTATAGACATTGTAGTTTGGCAAGACGCATTCATTATCTTGTATAAATATCCTAATATGTCCTCTGAATAAAGACCGAAAAGGTATTAAATGATTATATAACAAAGATCGAAAATATTTTGCATCCTTATCTTAATTAATTATAACTATCCGGTTTTCCACCAAATCCGATACATGCCCATACCATCATTTCAGCTCCACTTGATTGTCTACTAAAACACTTCTTCTGTTTGGGGCGCAAACATTACCCATAGCAGTTATTACCATCAGGGTCATTCAGATTTAATTTTTCTTATCAGAGAAAATAGCAGTATACCATTTGTCGACCAAAGAAATCACTATTTTGCCCGAGGATAGTCAAGCATCTATATACTTTTGAGTAAACAAAAGTTTCACCTTTAATTTCACATTTATAACATTCTTATTTTGCCTTAGAGTTTAGGCAACTGTTGTATGAGATACATTAGTCTGAATTTTCTACAAAGGAAAGGGTAAGACTTTGTGCTATGTATACTAAATAAAAAAATAACGTGATTTAAGTACAAATAAAAATACATAAATTGGCATACTATAATTTTAGTTCTATGATCAAGAGCATTCCTCAGCGACTAAACATCAAAATAAGTAAAGAAGTAATAAAAGACAAACACGTTTGAAGTGATGTAACCAATAGGGACAAAGGGGAGCAATTTTGAACAAGGAAATAACAATGCGGAGATAAACAGGTGTAAGGGTGGTTATCAGGAACCCCTGGGGGCAGCAGATTAAATTAAAATAGACTTCCAAATATTCGGAAACGGTGGCATACTTGAAAGATCATTAATTAAACTATCAGAATATTTCAAAATATACAATGACTCCCAATCGGACGGTGAAGAACAGTGTTGAATGATTTTAGCGGAAGAAAAATCAAACCAGAGATTTGAATTCCTACTGTGTAAAGCAGTGTTCCTCAAAGTGTGGTACGCGTACCTCCAGGGGTACGGGAACAGTTCAGCTGGGGTACGCGTTCTTAAACGAAATATCTTGCAACAAACCAAAATTTTAAAATTGTTTTATTTAAAAATAAAGCAAGCCATGAAAATTTACTATTACATACTTTTCTATTGGCTATTTTTTGCAGAGTTAACAGTTAGTAACTAGTGGTGTCAACAGCCAGTTGTGATTTTTAACTTTCGTGCAATTTTTTTCTAGTAAAAAATACTTTCATTTTTTTATTAGTGGTACACAACTTTGCGAAAAATTTAGAAAGGGTGCACAAAAGTCATAAGTTTGGGAAACACTGATGTAAAGCGATGAAGATTAGTTAATATCCGTATTTTGGATGTATCTTTTATGTTCGTTAAGTTGAAATTTAAGGTTACGTAATATTATTAGGACGTAACGTACTATTATTACGTATTAGATATTAAGGTTTGTCCAATCTACGGAAGACCATATTGATACGGAATTTTGATACGGAATAACCAGCTATTAATATCAGCAATTGGGTCCATAAGGTGGGTGGAATTTAGCTTATTTACGAGAAGAAATGACTTTAAACTCAAATTTATTCAGAATCTTAGCAATTTGGGAGCAGATTTTCAGATAATCAAGTTATTAAAGTTCGATTTACAGAGTTTGGTAGTTTGTGAGATATGTATTAGTTTTCTATAGGTGGAATCAATTTTATTAGAAGGAAAACCACGGTCTACAGCGATAGTCTTAAAGTGAAGTGGCTCTTCGTTGAAGAGATAAATATTTGAACGCATTTTAGAAACATGTGTGAATAAGGCAGCTATCTTTTGGTTTGGGGATGGGATGAGCGATTATGAGAGGAAAGTGAAACCACAAATAGTTTTCGATAAACACTAGTGAGAAATTTATCTCAATTACGAGTAATAAGAACGTCAAAGAAGGGTAAACACTTATTACTTTCCTGTTCAAACGTAAATTATAGGCAAAGATCTATAGAATTCATAATATTGAGACCGCTTTCTATAAATTGGTCAAGCACATTGTTTCAATTTTCTCCCAAGTGTGAATTTATTTACTGTCAGAAATTCATATGATTTTTTGAAGAGCTTCATACTTCAAACCTAATGGTAACAAAATGGTTTCTCTTGATGTAAAATCTTTATTCACCAACGGTCCCATTAATAGTAACCTTAATTACCTTAAAGTAAGATTACAAGAATTCTATTTTTACCAAGTTGAAATTGACGAATTAGTAAATTTTACTCGTATTTGTTCAGAACAGTCCACCTTCACATTTAACAGAACATTTTATAGAATGATTGATGTCTTAGCTAAATGTAATCCTCTCATCTCTTTCTTAAGTGACTTGTATATGCACTACCTCGCAGTGAAACTCTTTCATTTGTTAAAGTTACCTTTTTAAAAACGATAAATCGAAAATTGTTTCTCATTGATAGACAATACTGACATCTATCATGTTCTCAATATTATGAATTATATAGATCCTTACATGCAACTTGCGTTTGAACAGGAAAATAATAAGTGTTTACCTTTCTTAGACGTTCTTATTACTTGTAATTGTGATAAATTTCTCACTAATGTTTTTATAAAACCATTTGTGGCTTCACTTCCCCTCATAATCACTCATCCCATCCTCTTCTAAAAAAATCGATT